AATACACTATAAGAAACCGCTATGTATACCATTATGGCACCCATAAATCTTGAAACTGACCTTTTACGATCCCAGCACTTTACCAATCGAATATTCATCAAAATTAAGCTAAATTTAGGTTTATAATATAGAAGAATTCATATTATTTCAAACCATCTAAGAATCACTCAATTTTGAAACACGGTTTGAAAGTTATGAGCAAAAGATTGATTGTTATAAAAATTCCACTTTAGTCTCTCATTGACATGGCATGTGTTGAGAACGATGTGACACACAATGGCAATGATGCAAGTGATAGTCCCAATAAAAAACATCAACAATAAATAAATAAACAAATAACTTATTTAGATTTGTTTTTAAATCACACGAAAAACTTAAAGATCCATACCAAAACCTATAGACCATATCATCCGGTGACATGTTACCTTGAGAGTCCGCTTTGGTGAATCTCTTTCACCTATTCTACATCCTTCTCTCTGTCTTTTACTTTAGGGGTTAACCTCTTTTTATAGAGAACTATCTTTTGTAACTCTCATACTCATGCCTTTATTCTCTTAAGTGCAGCCAATTAGGATTAACAAGTTGACATTAAACTGTTAATCCTATATAATGAGTTACACCTGTCATTAGTGCACTAATGACTCACATAATAGGATATCATCTAAGCATTCCTACAATTTGATAAAAGATACTTAGAAATTAAATATTTTATACATCTATAATATAGAAAAAAAATATTTCTTACAAAGAATCCAAACACATCATTGGGTTTTCCCTCTAGTGACACTGGGTTTTCCCTCTAGTGACATTGGGTTTTCCCTCCAGTGCAACATCCTATAAAAGCTCCAAAATGCATCCTAGTATATGACATTGCCTCATGTCAATCAAATGGGATTTTATATACACTATACAATATGGTTTTTGTACCATTATTTAAAAATGAATTCCCGAGATAAAAGGGCCTGATAAGCCACATTTCCAGCTGCAAACATGTCAACCGCCTCATATGCATGCATGTCCGCTACCTGGGATGAGATCCCCACTCTCTCATCTCTGTTTTAAAGGACTTTAGAATTACTTTTACATTGGTTTGACTCAGGATTGGGTGATTTTGAATTTTGATTGCTCAAAGTTCAAGATTCCATATCTTTAGATTCTAAGTGCATCCATGTCCAAATGCACTATGGTCAACTCAACTAAGATCTTAGGTTGTAGAATTATCCTTCCTCAACTCCCTTACCTAAGATCTCAGCTGCCTTCTTTATTGCCTTTTGCAAGAGGTCTTGAGCTTGTTTTGGAAAAAGGGCTGAGGTCGTGGTGGTAGCACGCATCATACATTCATCATATTTCGTGCTTTCCAATCCTACGGACTAACCATTTTAAAAACTGATAGGGACCTAACCCAAAAACAAAACAAAAAAATATCCTTTCTCAGCTATTTCATACCTATTTTGACCTACCAATAGGAAATTACCTGAATACCAGTCTAGAATCCCAAAAACCAACAAATAGCCCCAAGAAATCTATTTCATCAAAGAACGTTTTAAAATACATTCAAAATAGGATCCTTGTTAAAAAAACCTTTATGTTCAACCATACTTGACCTACAATCCAAAGGAGACTAGCTTCTTAGGGCTGACAATGCGCCAAAGGGCCCAGCCTGACCAGAAGCAGTTGGGCTTGCGCCTGAATTAGGCCAGAGGGCAGGATCAGGCCTGGCTTTTAGTGGCCATGGCGACCCTTAGAACTTCATATTCAAGATTTCTATATTGTCTCTGATATTTGCAACAAAATTGGTTAAGGGCAAATTCAACTGAAACTGGCAATCATCCAAGGTCAATTAACTTTAAAAGTCAGAAAGGATAGGATTGACAACAGTTTCAAGATTCAAACTAAAATGTAAGGAATGAGAAGCCATTCATTAAAGAAGGACAAAAACAGGTTAGAAGATTCTAAGTAAGACTAACCATGAAGTTTGAAGGAGTTTGGAAACTGTGAAAGTTTGTCGATGAGATCGAGTTTAAGGAAGACACAAATGCATCAGTGCCAAATAGTGTCCGCAAACTCGGCTGGTCCAACCAGAACTGGGCACTGCCCAATCCAATTTTGGTCGGCTCTGGTAGTCCAGCCAAGTATTTTGAAAAAACAAAATTTATAAAATCTCAAAAGATTTATTTGTAATGTGTTTTGAATTTTTTTATCATTTTGAAAAAGATTGAAAAATTTTTCGGCTATTAATACTTAGATTTAAATTTTTCTTCTCTTTTTAAATTTTTTAGAAATACCCCTAGACACAAATCAATGTTTTAAAATCCATTATCTTCACTACTTTGCAACTTCATTTAGATGCAGTTTGTTTACTCTTATGCTTTAAATATATTTTTAATTTTTTTTGTACTTTTATTTTTTTAATACTTTTTGGATTGACCAGGACCTGCCCAGTTAGGCCGGTAAAACCGGCCAGTTAATGGTTACTCGGACCCTTGGCCGGTTACTCAGATAGACGTCCAAATTTCCTCAAATGTTGTGAGGTTGTAGATTGAAGAATCTTGGATAGGTTTGAGAAAATTGGTATTTGTTACATAATCCCTCTAAGTCTCATCCCAGTTCAAATTTAGATATAGAGAGCTAGAGTAGGAACCTGGGAGATTTGAGAGCCTTTGGGAGAAGCCCTCGATTCGAATCCTTCAGTCCAGACCAAATCTCCAAAAGCCTTAGCTTCGACTTAGACGCTTTAGGGACCCTAACATAAGTGTAGGTCACCCAAACACCTCCTCAATAAATTATATTATTTAGAGAGTATTTTATCACTTCAATACTGATTTTTTATCATAAGCATGTAACAAAAACTCTTTTTATTACCTTGGTAGGCATTTTTCTTAGTGAAAATTATAACCAACTTTCTAGTTATCCTCTTCCCTAATACTTTTTAAACAACATCACTAAATCCATCTAATACTTTTTAAACATCATTAAACCCAACAAAGCCTTTTTTTTTTTTCTTTTGCATCTAGCTCCCAAGTAAAAAAGTAACACTTTTATGACAAAAATGGCGCCCTCTAGACCCACATTTTTGGGCCTCCTCTCTCTTTAGGGGAAAAAAAATTTGACGCAATGTGAGTGGGACTGGTTTTAATAGGGACTGAGAGCCAGTCCACCATACATTGTGCTGAGCCGGCTTCATTATTTATAACAAACTCAATTGGGCACAATTTGTGCCAGACCTACTTCATGCCTCATTGTTTATAACAAAACTGTCCCCTCACAATGTGTGTCAAACTGGTTTCAATAAAGACAAAAAGAGATCTTATCCGTGTGACCAGCTTCAATAGAGACCAGAAGCCGATCGGGCACAAAGCGTGCAGCTTCATTTTTTTAAAAACAAATAGAAAAGTGGGTACTTAGGAGGCATTTTCATCATAAAAAGTTACTTTTTTTACTGGTAAGGGTAGATGCAAGAAAATACAATGTTGGGGATAGAGATGTGGGTTATTTATTTATTTTTATTTTCTTTGGGAGGTGGGAGTAACTATTTCCTTTTTCCTGCTATGATTATGCACATTTTTAAGAAAAAGAAGAGACGATGACTCTCGGATAAAAAATCCTATTTGCACAAAGGAGACGGCGACATATAAGGAAAGTTTGATCTCTTACTTTGTTCATTTGCACAACAATGCGGAAAAAAAAAGAAAAAAGAAAAGAAAAAGGAAGACTAATAGGAAGGCAAAAGGTCGAGGATTTGGGTATTTTGACCTGCCTCTTTCAGTTATGGTACAAGATGCAATGTCACAAGGTTCATCCTTCTGGTATGATGTTTAGGTCAAGTCTATTCATCCAAAAGAAGAAAAAGGTCAAGTCTACTTCATCTAACCGTAGAAAAAGGAAAAAGAAAAAGAAAAACAAAAAAAAAATCAGATGCGGCAACAAAAAGAAAAAAAAAACAACAAAAAACAAGAAAGCACTCATTATATAAAAGGGACTGGGGTCGTGGTGGTAGCATCCCCACACCTAATCACAACTTTGTGGTATCCGTTCCTACCACTAACACCTTCAAAAATGTCTATTGAAACAAAAAAAGGAAAAAAAAATTTTATATATATATATATATATATATTGTCTTCTCCACTAAATTATCCAAAAAAAAAAAAAAGAATCATCATTATTTAGGGCAAGGATGCCAAGGAAAAACCACTCCCAATTAAGCTAATCTAATCTTCTCATGAACCATCATCATACTTCAAACCAAATAAGATTCACTTTTAATGTTTCCACGAGCATGCTTATAATGTGAATCTTAAGCATACCTAACAAAGCAACAATGAAAAGGTTACTTATAATAATGAATATAATGAAATATTGGCCGATGCACATCTTTTTTCCTTTAATGCAATTAAATTCTAGTTATTTATTTACTTATGCCAAAAGATATTTTACGCCCCCAGTAGTGTACTGTCCATTTACTCCCTCGAATAACAACATACCAAAATTAGTTTTAGGACCCCAAAATTTAGGTATATAAACTCTTTAATCTGTATATTAACCTTAATAAATAAATAAATCTAATTGCATCCTTTAAGCACTGAGGAAAAAAAAATTCTCAAGATTCAATAAAAATTGTCCAATTTTTAGAGGGTGAGAATTTAGTGATAGAAAACTCAAAATTCAATTTTTTTTTTTTTTTAAATAATCATCTAGTGACTAAAATTTCAAATTGAAAAAATCAACCCAAGTAAATCATCCGACTGAGGGAGTAAAAGGAAACTAGTGCTCTTTACTTATTTATTTATTTATGAATTAATGAATGGAGTAAAGTTTCGAACTATATTTTCCATCACTAGAATGATAACTCTCAGTCTATTTTATGAAGAAATGCATTACGGAGATGATGAAGTCACATATGATGTAATGCTTACATGGGGTGGTAGCCACCACGAAACATTCTCTTTGCTTTCTCACAAGACAACCACCAAATTTCATCAACATAAAGAAAGCAAAAGATAGAAAATTCCAAAAGCTCAAAGTGGGAATTGGGCTCCACCCCCTTTCACTTCCATTGCACTAATTAAAAGTTACAAGTAGTTAAAGAGATTCTCCCACTATGAGAACTCGAACACAGGCCAATGAAAAGATGTGAGCCATGAGAACAACGTGTAATCATCCTTCTCTTCCCTCTCAAACCTAATCTCTAACCTATTTGGATAAGAATGTTATTCTTTGGGATAAGAATGCTGTCTAAGAGTTTACGTGCTCGACCTTCTCTCTCTCTTTCTTCCTCTATCTCTCTCTAACTCTCTTTTCTTCTATCTCGCTCTCTCTAGGTGTCTAATCAGTTATTCAAATGTGAGCAGGCTGGATGATCTATGTATCACATTTGGCACCTCTCTCTCTCTCTAACTCTCCCTCTATCTATCTCTAATTCTCTCTCTCTCTCTAGGTGCTTAATCAGTTTTTTTTCATATGTTTTGAGGGTGGATGATCATTGTTTCATGTTGGCTTTTTCACATTTCATGGACCCTGCAGAGGGTAAGTGATGTCGTCGAAATCATCAAGAGATGCATAAATTTCATCCATACATGACAGTTCTCTTCCTTCATCACCTGAACTTGAACAACAGCTCTTGTCGTAAACATGACATAAAACCCAGTCCTCACTCTGAAAGTATCAACAAAGTACGTTTTGATGAGAAAAGTGGAGGTTTAAATTTTATGTGATTTGAATTTATAGAAAAAATATTAAAATTCAAATATAAAATGCAGTTGTGATTGTCAGATTGGGGACATGTTCAATATTAGCCGTTGGGCTTATACTGTTCCATCAGCCTATATGAGAGTGAGAGAGAGGGGGGAGAGAGAGGCGAGAGATTTTGATTGATATAAATAAGAAATGAAATGTTTAACAATTTAATCTCTTTGTATTTAAAGTAAAAAATCCCACCAAAACACACGTGATCATGAATTAGAATAGTTGAAAATAGTTAAAATGTCAAATAGTTGATAAGCTAGTTGTATTATATGTATATACTTTTGTTAGTGCAACAATTGATAGAACAGTATTAACCCAACGGCCCTAACGATAAGACTAGGATTACACAAAACTAATGTGAGACTTACATTGGTGCAATCGTCGGCGTCGATAATGAGATACTCATGCATGGTCCAGTAGGTGATCGACCCTCTCGGCGCCTTCCCTGAGTAGAATTCCCAATCTTTCCTTAAACCGACCCTCTTGCTCCCACTTAACACCGGTGTATCGGTGCCGGTGGCCATCCAGTATCCTGATATGGCCGGTCGGTTCGACCTCGATCCCTTCACTTGCCTTCTCTTTCTAGGACAAAAGAAATACCAGTGTTGCTCCCCAACCATGGCTTCAGCTGCAAAATAAAAAGAATTCAGCCTCTCTCCTCCCCCTAAACAAAAATCCAGATAAACATTCTGCTAAATAAACAATTAATATTTGAGAATGGAAAGAAAATTACATGGAAGCTGCCATGGATCGAACTTGTAAATATCAATCTCAGTAATGATATTTGAGGTGTTGGTTGAATGCCTGGCCTTGGGGATGAGGTAGTGTAGGACTAGTTCTTCATCTGTGGGGTTGAACCTGAAGCCAGGGGGAAGGTTGTTTTCATCACCCATTGATGGAATAAGATGAGAAAGAAAATTATGGTTTTTTAAGGTGGGAAGATGATAGAAGAGAGAGAGAGGAGATTGTAGAGAGAGAGGATGAGTGAGAAATGGTGAGCAAAGTATGGTTTATAGGGGGGAGGAGGAGTAAAAATCTTGTGATGAGGGTGCAAGAAGCACGAGGGGCATTGCTACTCTTCCACTCGCAAGCAATTTTAAAATTGGGGGAGGCAACAACATTCTTCCAATAATGTAAGGCCTACAGATCATGTGCACCCGCGCGAGCATATAGTTGCTTGCATTCAAGCGGAAAAAATGAGAATATTAATAGAAAAAGTATTTAATGAGTCGGCCGACTCATCTAATGTTGCGTGATCCTCCTCTCTCAAATCTACATCAATCTTCAAATTTTTATTTTTTGAAAGTGTTTTTTAAATTTTTTTTTTCTACCATCCATTTTAACTTTCAGTTTATATATGAGAATGGATGATGTCAGCTTACGGACTGACTGCTATAGTGTCAGTCATTGGCCTAGATTGAATCTAGATCGATCTGACGGTCACGACCTTATTTTGTATTTGAATTTTTTTTTTTTTCTACAAATCCAAATCACTTGAAAATTTAGAGAAAAGTTTATATAGAGCCTAGGTTATAAACAATCAAATTAGAGCCTACCTAAAAAAATTTACATGAAGAGATTAATTTAATGCCCAAGTATCCTCAAATTGATCATCTCGACATCAAGATGCATGGACTTGAGAAAAAAATAGATTTCAAGTTTTGAATGAAAACTGGCCACAAGATGGCTTTTTAAGGTTGTTGCATCATATTACTATACAACGGTTGTATGAAATCATTGCTCATATATAAACAATGATCCAATGCAATGGTTGTATCATAGTATAATGCAATGACACTTCTAGAAAACCATGTTTGTGGTATTTGTTTGACCTCAAATTTTGCACACACACTCTCTTCATCTCAATAATCAATCCCCCTAAAAAAAAAAAAGTTCAATTTGAACCCTAGATATGGCCAAAATGAGTCCCTCCAAAATCGAATCTAGACCATTCATTTTGTGAATTTCAAGTTCTTAGCCTTTATAAATTCGAATTCATTTTTTTCTTTTTTAAAATTGTTCATCTAATGATAATAAATCCATCCAAAACAATTGAAAATGAAAAATTCCTTGTAAGGCCTAGATCTAAGCATCTCATGAAAATGAATGGCTTGTGTTAGTTGGGCTAAAAAAATACTTTCTAGGTTGTGTTTTCAATTTTTTCTTTTTCTGTAATTGTTCATTAGAATGAAAAGTGTATATATTTCAAAATTTAGATCAAACAAGTAGTCACAAGATGGCTTTTTAAGGTTGTTACATCATATTACTATACAACAGTTGCATGAAATCATTGCTCTATATATATATATATATATTGAACAAAGGTTGTCTATTAATCAGGTTTAAGCTTGAATAGTTGGCAGCTGACATTTAGGAGAGCTACATTTCGAATCTGAATCCTACTACTGAACTACTAAAAAAATAAAAAGCAAACATTGTTTAATTTATAGATAGCTACATATAAGTATTTTTATTTTGAATACTCATGTGGTGTTTCTAAAGTGAACTTAAAATTTTAGTTTCGAAAAATCTCGTAAGTAGATCTTTAACAAGGGAGCATATATACAACTTAAATCCGGCAGGACTATGCATCGTGGCTCATAAAACAAATTGCAGAGGTGTTAGATAAGCACAACAACGCCTTCTCAACTTGACAACGTGCGCCAATCCCTCGTGGCACTACACACCCTGACCAAACACATGGGGCACCGTCTCTCTTAATTGTCTCACCAAATTTGTTAACTTTGTCCCCAAAAAAGCCCCAACACATTGCTTTGCATCCAAATCAAAAGTTCCTAAGATCAATTTTTGTTTTTTCTTCTACTGTTCTTTGTCTTTGTATTGATTTTATCTCAAGAAATCATGATTTTGATCTTTTTCTATTATTCTATAAGCTCTAAATCATTTTATTGGATTTATTGCTCCTATGAGATGAAATCGAAAGATGTGAACTAAGGTTTCTTTTGAATATTTTATTTTAATTTTGATTTATACCTCAATTAAATGAAATTGAAGGTTTTATTTTGATTGTAAGTGTTTTTTTTTTGTTTTTAGGAAATTTGTCAAAATATCAATAAGAGATGACGTATTTAAAGTTCTGCCCAATTGCAACTATTCCAAGTCATGTCTTTTTTTTATAGGTATTTTGAAGTTAAATCAAAGGATATTAGTAAAGTTCAAAGTTATTCATCTCTTGCGGGTAATTTGATAAAGTTTTTTGTAGTTTTTTCCCTTTCTTATCCCTAGAATTTCAGTTGTTCTCGATTACTTCTTATTCTTTTTTTTCTTTTTTTTTTGGGACAATGTTACTCACTTTATTAATATTCAGGGGGATAAAGAATTAGATAGGCAAAGAAGCCAAAATCGATAGCTTAAAACAATTTACACCCCCTTTTAGCCAACATACCCGATATTTCATTTTGCGTCCCTATAGATAGATTGATCTCAAATTCTAAGGAGGTCAAAAGTGCACACAATTTAGCCTTATTCACTGTCGATAGACCAAAAGGACCATAAGAACATAAAATTTCCTCGCCATTTGTGTTTCAAATCACTCGACCTAATCTAGTCAGTCCTGGATTCCTCAAAGAGCTACTAACTTTTCGAACCAGATTGATCTCAAATTCCAAAGAGGTCAAAAGTGCACACAATTTAGCCTTATTCACTGTCGATAGACCAAAATGACCATAAGAACATAAAATTTCCTCACCATTTGTGTTTCAAATCACTCGACCTATTCTAGTCGGTCCTGGATTCCTCAAAGAGCTACTAACTTTTCGAATCAGATTGATCTCAAATTCCACAGAGGTCCAAAGTGCACACAATTTAGCCTTATTCACTGTCGATAGACCAAAAGGACCATAAGAACATAAAATTTCCTCACCATTTGTGTTTCAAATCACTCGACCTAATCTAGTCGGTCCTGGATTCCTCAAAGAGCTACTAACTTTTCGAACCAGATTGATCTCAAATTCCAAGGAGGTCAAAAGTGCACACAATTTAGCCTTATTCACTGTCGATAGACCAAAAGGACCATAATAACATCAAATTTCCTCACCGTTTGTGTTTCAAATCACTCGACCTAATCTTGTCAGTCCTGGATTCCTCAAAGAGCTACTAACTTTACAGATCTTGGCAACGGTAAAATCGACCTACATTTTGGCCTACAATTTAAAGATGACTACATGATATCCCCATTAGAAACACTATCGCCCTCTTCACTAATTAAAAACCATTCCCTAAGGTTATGCATAATGTTATCTACACGATCTCTCCAAATATGTGACCAACCCCTCGAAGGCACGACGATTTCGTTCCAAATCAAACCGCCCATAATAATGCCTCTCTAAGAATATCCCAAATCATCTTTCAATTCTCAGATGCATTTATGATGATCAAATCTTCCAAACATTGTTCCCAAAATTGTTCGATCTAACCGCCCGGTTAGATCGGAACTGGCTAGTGGTCGGTTCCGGTTTTGGGAGGGTAAGGTGATCAACCGGTATTTTTTTAAAAAAAATTCAAAAAATGGATATAAATTTTCAAAAATAACGAATTTGATTTGTAATGCATTTTTAAATATTCTTTACATTATAATAAATATTAAAAATTATTTTGATCATTATACTCACTTTTATATTTTCCTATCTTTTTTAGAAATTTTAAAAATAGCCCTTGAAAAGTATAAATGGGTTAAAATCCATTTTTTTCATTAATTTTCAACTTCAATTAAATGTGTTTGGTTTTAATCATTCTTTATATGCTTTTCATACTTTAGTAGATTTTTTTTTGTACTTTTTTATTTTTTTCAACATTTGTTTGACCGCCCGGGACTTGCACGGTTAGAGCGGTTGAATCGGCCGGTTTTCTGGTTTAAGCCGATTGAACCGCTTCCTGACCCACATCCGGTTAACCTTTCCAATTCGATTTTGAGAACACTGGCTCATAGGTAACAACATTGTAAATAGACATTTGAACGAGAAAATTGAATTGTATTCTATTGCTTTATACGGTGATACATATAAGTTATAAGCCCAATATCCCAAGATTTGTGGGATTGTGCAACATCCCAATATTTGTAGGAATGTAGAGATAAGAAGTTACAAAGGATAGAAACTATACACACAGTTTAATCAAACCGTGTATGTTTGGATAGAAACAAATCTTGCAATACTCCCCTCTAGTTGGAACATGAATGGGGATGTTGCCCAACTTGCCAATAAGCTATTTCAACCATTCGTGCTGGAGGACTTTTGTAAAAATATCTGCCGAGTGATTGGAAGCGTGAAGATATGCAGTCTGAAGTAGTCCAGAGGGATCTTTTCAGGATTAAGGTGATAATCCAGCTCTGTATGCTCTATTTCTTTTATGCAAATTTGGATTGGCAACAATGTGTAGAGTATAGCTTTGTCATTGTAAAACATTATAATGAGTTGTAAGTGAGGAATACTAAGATTGGCGGGAAGATATTTTAGACAAGTTAACTCACAACTTAGAAGTGCTATAAAGCAGTATTCCGCTTCGACAGAAGTCTAAAAACCTGTGTTTTATTTATTAGGTTTTCAAGAAATTGGGCTATCACTGAGCAGAGTACAATAACCGCTAGTAGACTATCGAGTCCTCGTGTAGCTAACCAAATAGGAATCAAAATATCTAGTCACTTCAGGTTTCCATAAGGAGGATAAGATAATTCCACGTCTCGAGGTAAACTTGAGATATCGAAGTAATTGTAAGGCCACATCAAGATTAGGTTTTCGCGAGCTTTGCCAAAACTAAGGATATGGACATTGAAAACGATGTTTGGGTGGGTAATAGTTGAATATATGTCTGCCAATGAGCCTCCTATAAGAAGAATAGTCTTCAAGAAAGTCACCATCTATAGAATTTAGCTTTAGATTTTGCTTCATTGGAAACTCTGAAGGCCTTGCTTCGAGCATACCCTTATCTTGGAGTTCTCTAATGTACATTTATGCTGGCATAAGAAAAGGCCTTTAATAGACTTAGCTACTTCGATGCCAAGAAATATTTGAGTGGTCCTAAGTCTTTGATATGAAA